ATCCTTCTACAGATAAGTAACAGCGTAGAAAGGCTTCACTTCCGGAAACACCAAAAATGGCGACATGCTGTACACCGGCATCTCTGATTCTAACTTACGCTGCTTCTACTGTACACCCACAGGACCTCACTCCCTCTTTTCTCTCTTTCAAGCCTAAGTCCAACTCACCCACTTCATCTCTTTCCCTGTTCGTGCTCAGAGCTTCAAGCCCGAGAAAGCTGTGCAAATGGGTTCAAATATCTTCCAAGCCTGACCCTTGTCGTGTGGCTGTGTCTGCGTTAGCGACTGAGACTGATGTGGTGGAGGATGTGGAAGCGACGGGAGGAGAAGCTGCCGTGGCGACTACAACCACTGCTCCTCCGCCTAAGCCAAAGAAAGGGAAGGCTGCATTGCCGCTCAAGAGAGATAGAGTACGCATGGAAGTTTCATTTTTCTGTTGAGTTTATCTGGTTCGGCATCAATTTTTAGGGCGTTTGATTAATGGGCTTTGGGTAATTTTTGGAGGTCGAATTATTGATTTGGAGTAATTTGGTTCATAAAAATTATTGCTTTGAAGAGGGACTTAAACATTTGGGCTGATTCTCATAATAGTTGTAAATTGTATACTTGTAAAAGTTTTTATTGGTTTGAGTCTGATCATAGTTGTAAAAGTTATCGACAGAAGAATGATTGGTTGCAACTGCAACCTGCTCTTATGCTTTCCATATTTCGTGGAAACAATAGATTTTTATGCAGCTATTTGGGTAAAGAGGTTTGTTTCATACAACCTATGGATTTATACAGCTGGTTCTTTAGATATGTTGTATTTCATTGAAATTGTTGATGGCAGAGTTGTAGCTACTAAAGTGATTGACTTGAAGAGATACCTGAGAATACTTCTTTGTTTCCTTGGCTCTGCAATTAATACTTTCATATATTTTCTTCATCATTCTCTGAAAGATTCTTTAGTTGCTGAACCTCAAACCGTCTTTTGATTTTTTTTCCCAGTGTTTTAAACTTTATTCTGGAGTTTGGATAAATTGTTTTACTTTGATCTATCTGTTAATTTGGCTTATACGATTTGTTTGTAATGTCCTCGTTTCTGAATTTTGAAATTTACATATTTTTAGTCACTAAACTGTTTCATTTGCATTGAGAATGTCAGACGAGATCTAAGAGATTCCTGGAAATTCAAAAGTTGAGGGAGAACAAGCAAGAATATGATGTGAAGACCGCAATTTCTTTGCTAAAGCAAATGTCAAACACAAAGTTTGTGGAGTCAGCTGAAGCTCATTTTCGCCTCAACATTGACCCTAAATACAATGATCAACAGCTAAGAGCAACAGTGAGTTTTCTGAGCTTACACTAACAAGATGGAACCATTTCTGCGCCCTCTGGAATCTGACGTGATAATTGATCTTCTCGATTTATCTGACTGTTTTTCGCCCATAGGTCAATTTGCCCAAAGGAACTGGGCAAACTGTTAAAGTGGCTGTTCTTGCTCAAGGTAGATAATCTTCTTTGATGTGTGATGAGCTATTACTTGCTGCTTGTTTCTCATTTATAAACAGCAGAAATGATATTCTTCCTAAGAGGACATAATTCCATGGCATAATTAGATCTTGATATTGTTAATACTTTTATTTTAGAGCTTCATAGTCTATTTTTCTCTTAGTGACTAGAAGTCTTTGTTTGAGGGAGTTTGCGATTGTTATTGTCAGCTCTATATGAGGGACGTCACGTTCTGCTTTTTCTGATTGAATTCTGTGGATTATGTACTTAAACTTGGCATATGTTCTTGCCAAGTTAATTTTTTATTTTTTATAAAAATTTGGTTTACAATATCTTAAAATAAGGAGGTCTAGAACAAAGGTTTCAAATACATTTTACTGTTTTTGTAGTGTTTAAATTCCTTCTTTTCGCATGGGGATTTAATGACCTTGTTTGCAACTTTTTTTTCTGCACAGCCTGAAGTATATGCATGCTTGATACTTCATTGGTCTGTCTTTGAATTGTATTTAGATTCGGGTCTATTTGGAAACTTGGGATTTCCATTCCATGATGAGATGGATTACATTCTTTCATAAAAAAGAAATATTCTTAGAGAGGAATAGAAAGGTACAATAGAGGAGGACTATAGTTCCTCCCAAAAGAGAAAAAGAGACAGAAAAGAGTAAAGGCCTGGATAACCAAAAAAATCAATATAAAAAGCTGGCCAATCTCTAAGTAAAAGAAAATGTCATTAACAAGGTACCTAGGGCATACCGCCCATGTGCAAGAAAAGGCTATAAAAATTGATGATAGGTACTTTAAGATGGATTAATACATGTTGACGAATCTCTTCCTGCTTGTTGATTGGTAAAAGCAGTGTACCTTTCATTTGATAAATACTGCGGTAACAAAATCCCAGAGCCAAACTTCAAAATAAATTTTGTAAAGCTAAGATAGAAAGAATGGAAGTATGTGCAATCAGACTAGATGAGCTATGTCTGCATACTATCAGACAGGTTATTCCCCATCATTTGTGCTGTTCTTCTTACTATCTATCTGCTATGAAAGAGTTATTTGGCTAGTGGCTCTTGGACGATTTTGAGCCAAAGTATTATGCCTTTCTCTGTCCTTTCCTCCATATTAAAGATGCATTTTCTTTTTCTTTTGTCGTCCTTTTTACTTATGAAGATAAGTAAATAAACTTTTCTATCTGTTTGTGTGGTACGTTGAGCAGTATCCTTGAGGGGTGCTTTTTGTCCTTGTCCTTCAATATTATAGCACTGTCTAACTGATGATTTGTAGATCTTCTCTGCTGTGTATTAACATTTGTTTACTGCACTGTTATATTCATCTTGGCAGGTGAAAAGGTCGATGAAGCAAAGAATGCTGGAGCAGACATTGTTGGGGGTGATGACTTGATTGAACAGATAAAAGGAGGATTCATGGAGTTCGACAAATTAATTGCTTCTCCAGATATGATGGTTAAGGTATTGTTCTGCTGCTCTAATAGTTGTCAGCTTAAACACATCTCTTATCTCTAAACCATTTTATAAGTGCTGAGTGAAAATGATCTCATTAGTTTTGGCAGTTTACTTTTATGGTTCTAAAATTTTTTACTATTAATTGATTGTTATCATCAATCCATTTTTTTATGTTTCTGTTTTTCTTTTCGTGATTGCTTGGCGTTGCTTTATGAAATATCTCCCATCCTGTATTATAAGCTCATTTTTTCTTTTTGAATGTTTTCTTTCTTTTTTTTACTGTTCAGAGTATGAGTACACTAACATAAACATGCAAATCTTTTGCTGATATCACTAATATGTTGGTAGATATGACAAGTATAATACCATGGTAAGGAAAAAGAAAAAATGTACGGCATCAGTCATTTTTCCATATCCTATGTGTTTTCTGTAGTTCTGTCATTAATTTATTGTTTATCCAAATAATTTTGTCCAATGAATCCAATTTGTGCATTCTTTTTCTTTCTTTATCTGAGTTAAAGGAAGTAACCCCGTTAGTAGAATGGGTATGTAACCCATGTCCTTGAACTCACTAACACCCATTCAATGGTAAGGAGCTCTGCTAATATTAAGGCAAGTGGCTAATGGTTGTGAATTGTTCTGTTACATAATATAGGATATTTAGTTGATTGATATACCATTGTAATGTGAGCATAAAAAAGCTTCTCTCTCATTCTTCGGGCTACCTACTTGTTTATTTGGGAGGAGAAGGAATAATTGAGAATGTTTTTATTTTTTTTAATAGAGTTAGAGACATATAGTTCCAGGATGGATTTACACTAGCTTAATGTTAATGTTTATTGTTTCTGTTTGTTTCATGTCAATACATGCTTGTAAGTGCACCAGAGCATGTTGCTATGGTTGATTATGCTTCTTTGTTGCTAAGTCCCGATTTGTGCATAAATTACTTGCAATTTGTGTTAGGTTGCTAGCTTGGGAAAAATTCTAGGACCGCGGGGGCTCATGCCAAATCCGAAAGCTGGTACTGTCACAACAAATATACCTCAGGTATGATCTCCCTGCTTGCATTTTTCCAATTTCAGTTACTGGTGTTATTCTTTTCTTTTGGTAAGCAGTTACTGGTGCTTGTATTGTTAGTTCCTCTTGTAGATTTTTCTTCTGGATTGAAAAACAGTGATTAGTAGAGAGGAATAGAAAGGTACAATAAACGAGCAGTAGATACCCTCCAAAAAAAGGAAAAAGAGAAAACAGAAAAAGAGAAATGGTTGGGCAGGAAACCAACTCAATATACAACTATCAGTCAGTCTATATGTAAAGTTGACAAAGAAATATCGTTGTAGATTTATACTTAATAAACTTGCAAGAATGTCTTTTGCTTGCATGTTCACCTGTTGCTTGCATGTACCCGCCTCATTGATGTGGGTTTTTCTATGGTGTTATAATGATTTTTTTGTGGCTAAAATGGAGAAGTATAGGTGTGTTTGTTCTTTTATGGCATGTGTTAGTAATGATATTTTGTGGTTAACATGGAGATAGATGGCTGATTCAAGTTGAAACGTAGAACTAAGAGTTCTTTCTAATATTTAGTTAGGAGTATTTATGCCAAGGCTAATGGTGTCATGGAATCAGAGTGAAAAGGCTTCGGTCAGCTCCACATGTTGTTAGCTTGTGTATTGTTGTCTGTACATATGTGACATACTGATATGGAGGAAAGACTGAATGAAAAAAAGGGGTTTTGAGTTTGTTTTATTTACTAAAGCAGCAGCTACTTTTATGATTTTAAGCTAGTTTAGAATTGGCTTAGATTAACATTCTCTTTTTGATTTCTTTTTCATTTTCAATCTCAGGCAATAGAAGAGTTCAAGAAAGGGAAAGTTGAATACAGAGCAGATAAAACTGGAATCGTGCACATACCTTTTGGAAAAGTCGACTTTTCTGAAGAAGACCTCGTTATAAACTTCCTTGCTGCCGTAGTATGATATCCTGTCATCACTCTTTTTTCTCCATTGTTATATCTGTTAGAACATTACCATCTCAAACTTGAACTACCCTTGATTGTCTTTCAGAAATCCATTGAAACAAACAAGCCAAAAGGTGCAAAGGGAGTGTACTGGAAAAGTGCACACATATGCTCCTCAATGGGTCCTTCCATTAGGTTGAATATACGGGAGATGCTCGATTACAAGCCTCCTTCTGACGCCTGAACAATGTAATTAACACCTGTAAATGATGTCTCCGACCTCTCAATCAACTTCATAGGTATCAGTCTCATGGTTCACCACTGCTTACTAAGCAAAGAGATCCAGAGAGCACGTGGGGTGAAAAGAGGAGACTGATTATTTTGTTGTTTCAAAACGATGTGTAAGAAAACCATGCATTTTTTGCATAGTCTCCCTTGATGCAGATTGAGAGGCTCTTGTATCTGAAATACGACCAATGTTTGTCAGTTTTACCTTATCTTGATTCTTTCAAATTGCGAAACTGAAATTATATTTTTCTTCTCCAATCCCGATATTAGGTTGTCCGTGTTGCGGTACTGAAGTCTCCTTTTAGTAGGGCTGGAGTGCTAACAAATAAAATGGAAGGATTTCCTTTGTCATATTCCCATGCTTATATTTTACCATAATCCTTTTAACCTAATTACATAAAATACACTTTTAACATAGATTATGATAACTAGTTATCTCAAAGTTAGAGTTATACTTCAAATCAAACATTCTGCATAAAGTGGAAATACTATCGTGGTATTCTAATGATAATATCCATAACATAGCCACAATATGGTCTTCTTATTCTAAATTGAATGTAGACTTTGTTTTTCACTTTGTTTAAAATCAAAGTTAAAGTAGCAATGTGATAATGGCCATAATGAAAAATTCCCAGCCAAAGTACAATAAAATACACTCAAATTATGATCCCTACATTTTGATCATCTTTACTCCTTTCTCCATTCAGTAAAAGACAAAAAAAACAAGAGAGAAACAACAACAAAGCATAATCTTTGGTAAGAAGGTAGGGATTAAAAAAATTAATCTTAGGGGTCGACTTTCTTCGTCTCAGACAGCTCCTACATCGACGAGCTTGCCGCATTCTTATTAGCTATCTTGATCATTGCGACACAGCCTGAGTCCGATGGCATTAAATTGTTTTTCTTTTTTTCTGTGTTTTCTTCTTCTAGCAAAAATAAAAAATAAATAAAGAATAAAAAAACGACTTTTACATCATCAAAGGCGTAAGATTCATGCAGACTGCAGGTCATGGTTCTTTTTTTTCACATTCACAAGTAAGGTTCTATTGTGGGGACAACAAATGAAGGATAGCATAATGAGAGGACCTATTCTAGGAACATTTTCTAAGACATACATGGTAGCAGCTACATATGACATACCTGTAAATCTGATGAGTGAATATTTGGCTTTCACTGTAACGATCTAAGGCAAGGCACAAAATTTGCCTAGTCATCACATATATCTCAAGAAAAATAAAATGATTATTAATAGACTGAAAAATAATACTAAGGATCTTGAGTGTAATGGTAAATATAGCCACTGGTATTGATTTGCTAAGTTACTCTATCTCCATTTTCTTAGCTTCTGCTTCTTTGTACATCCTTCACAATCTGCACAAGCCAGAATAGGGATGCTAAGTCTTCAACTTATATTGTAACATAAACATACTTTTCTCTTAGTAAATATTCACCACGAGGAAGAAAAATTGTATATCTGTAACTTGTGTTGTTCATCACTAAACTCAAGCGAGTTAAAAGGATCTTCGTAACAAAAGTTAAAAAAAATTACGTTTGGGAGTCAAATGAATGAAATGATACAAATTTAATTCGGGAATAGATAATAAAATTTTTTGAAGTAAGAATTTACTTTCATTAGAGAATATATTTGAAACTATAAATTTGTTATTTAAAAAAATTAAGATTATTTTTTGAAATAAATCTAGAAATAATATAAATTTCATTTGTGAGTATACATTTAGTTTAATTGTTAGAATTTTAAAATTCAATTTTTATCATTGAAAAAGTTTTTCTAATCAAAAAATTTACAATTTGATTATATAATATAGTAATTCAAAAAATGAAAAATTTTAAAATTATGAAAAAAAATTAAAATACTCGTTAAACGAATTAATATTACAAATGAAAAACTTCATTTTTATAGATTTATATTATATCTAAATTAAATTTATAAATTCATAAATTAAATATAACTACAATGAATTTTAATATTAAATTATAACATAATCCATAACTCAAAAATATAAATTAATAAATTTTCTAACAAAACTTCACATTTTACATTAAAAACATCTCTTATATCAATTAGTATTTTCAATTATTTCATTGTAATTATTTTAATTAAAAAATATAATCCCTTATACAAATATATTTTATCACCTTGATACGCCGCATTTTGTGGGATATAATTGTAATTAAAATTACATCCAAACATTTCTGATAAATTCAACGAAAATTCGATTCCATGTGAGCGATTGACTAACACAAATTCTACGAACAAAAACAAGAAATATGAGTGGAGAAGGTAAAGTAGTGTGTGTAACCGGAGCCTCCGGGTACATAGCTTCGTGGCTTGTCAAGCTCTTGCTTCAACGTGGATACACCGTCAAAGCTACAGTTTGTGATCCAGGTTTATATGGTTCTCTCTCCTTATCTTCAACCTCATTGTTCTTCTCACTCATTATTGTCATTCTTATCAATTTCAGCTTTTTCACGTGTGCAATCTCTGTTTAATCGTTAGTAAAGCTTCATTCTGAATTTTTAAGTGGAGAATTTGGGGATGCCTGTGTGTGATTGTCCGATTAATTGATCTATCATGTCATTTCAATGATCGAAATTTAGTCAAGTGTCTGTTGACGAACTTTGATTTTTGTTTTTGTCTTCAGGGTAAATTTCACTTTAATAATAAAGGTGCACCTGTATTACACATCTGATACTACTCTCGGGTAGGTGAATTAATTTCTAGTTTCATCTGGTGTAGTCCCATGTTTACTTAGGAATGCTAAGCTTTGATATATTGGAAAAGATTACTCTATTTTAGGGTTCCATCAATTTCTTGCTTATCTGGGTTGTTGATGCCACTTTGGAGAAGCAACTAAGGTCTTTGATTGTGGACTCTAAAGATTTGAAGTTTATGGATTGCAATTTTCTGTGTATGATAACCGGATAATTGGTATTTGGTGATTTGGATGATTAGAATCTAGAACCAAGTAAACTTGTTAGTTTACCAAGTTTAATTCATCTAGGCTAGCTTTGTTAAACTAGCAGCAAGAATAAGTGAAAGAATGAAGGAAATTCAATGCTATACTTTTCATTAAGCAACAACCCTTTAAATAGGTTTTACATAAACTAATTAACTACAAAATAGGATTCAACTTATTCAAAATATAAACCAACTTATTCATTAAGATTCTACATATTTATCCCTAAAGACTTGGTAAACACAAATAACTTCTTAACTCACATGTTAAATGCTGCTGACTAATTATCTAATATACTCTCCCTTAAACTAATAACTAATTTTTAGTTTATAACAAAACTTTAATTAAATTGAACTCTTTGAACAAACTCCTAGTAGCTTTTTGAGAATCTGAAATGCACTTGGTTTGAGGACCTTTGTAAACATATCAGCAACTTGATCCTCACTTTTGCGGTACATAAGATCGATTGTTTCATTTTTGGTAAGATCTCGTAAAAAATGGTACCAGACATCTATGTGCTTACTCCCCCCATGAAGAACTGGGTTTTTGGACAACTTAATTGTAGAATTGTTGTCGCAAAAAATGATTGTAGCTTCCTTTTGTTTGAAGTGACGTGCTGCAAGCATTTCCCTTAGCCAAATTTCTGCTGTGCCAGAATCCCAAAATTTTCCAAAAAAAAATTTTCAACATCGATTTTGGCATTTTGAGGTATTTTTAGGTACATGATGAGTATTTTAATTTTTTCAGAAAAAAATTAGGAAACTCAGAGACCGTCAGGAGGCACAGTAGGTAGTACGACATTTCAAACACCGATCTGGATAAGAAACCCTCACCCTATCTCCTGTTATAATAAATTGAGGCTTAATAATCAATAATCTTATATTTTGTGAAAATTAAAAAAATCCTAATAATAATTACAGGTCACTAGTAGAGTCAGAACTGGTCAGTGTATGATTGCCCTACCTTGTCTATGTTGCTTATTTATTTTTTCTATACCACCTAAATTATTTATTGTTCTGCCGTATACTTTAAGTTATTACTTTTAATTGTTTTTTCATTTTATTGATTGCATAATCGTTATTTTTTTTTTATTGACTGATTTGAAATAAGCGTTAATTATGTTTCTCAATTGTTAAGGTATAAAATTATATTATTTGCTTAAATATCGTTAAATTGATATGTAAATATGAAATGAGATGATGGCGATTGGTGGTTGTTTCATTTTCTAAGTTCCGGGTCTTTACACAATACTCCTATGAGAGCATGACAGATGAAGACAGGAAGGCAAGAAGGTTTAAATGGGGTCATCGTCCTAAGAGCAGACAACAGTTGTATGTCTTCGAGCATGACACTTATTTAGCGGTCCTATCTGAGGCACAATTGATAAAGAGTAACCTCCGCATTTTTTCCCCAGCAGTGGGCAACTCCAGGCCTCCAGTTTTGCATTGTAGGCCAACACCTATTGCACTGAACCAGTAGAACAAGATACCAAGGACTGTAACTCAGGCTCCTCCCCAGGCCTCGATAGTAGGATGTGGCAAGATTTACCAGCACTATGGTAAGGATCATGGAGACCGACTTTACTATCGTCTCAACAACACTTGCCACTTATACGGAAGTGTCCAGTACTACGTGATAGAGTGTCTGTGGAATCAAAATTAGACCAGATCTGCGGTCCAGAGCATAGTCTATACACTCACCCAACAAGATGCTGAGGTCAACCCAGATGTGATCTAGGTACGTATACTATCTGCAATCATCTTGCACATATTTTGATTGATATTGATGCTTTATATTCTTTTGTTTCATAAGTTTTTACTCAAAATTTAAATGTGTTACCTGAAAGTATTGATTTTATATTATTTGTATTTACATTTAGGAATATGACATTACTGGAAAATATTATATACAAAGCTTGTATTCAGGTAGGGAATTGAGCGTAGATCTAATAGCACTTGACACGAGGGATTTTGAGTAATTTTGGGGATGAATTGTTTAGCAGTGTATTACGCTTTGGTGGATTATTATCACAAGAGCTTGTATTTAACATTTCTAATGAAAAGTCTTTACTAATTAATAAAATCTTAGATATAGTTGACACCTAGTAACTACATTATCCATTAAATGCAATTAACTTAACTATTCTTTTCTACGTTAGACAAACCTAAGAAAGATATTTGCATTCAAGATATCCTTATTGTCTGAACTTTTCCTGACGTGTTCCCT